GATATATATGCTATTCTTTATTTCTAGCTTAGTTACAAATCGTCACAGGGAGTAGCACCATGGTCACAGGAATGGTCCCTAGTTTTGTTTCCTGGTTGCGTTACGCTCTACCGTTTAACTCCTCGGCCTATCCAATACTCGCATCCTGTGATACTATACTATCACAGGCTAAACCACAACACGTTGCCATTATAGCATACTACCTGGGTATTATGTTTCTATTTTCTTCCCCATCAATCCATAACCCATAATATTACCAGCGAAAGGCTCCACCCGAGATAGTTTTGGTTCCGGTTATGTGGGTATCTTGGGTTCTGCCTATGCAAGGATAGCCTCAAACACATCGCAACTGCGCACTGGACTGCACTCCGCCTGTCTCAGTCAGAACCCAAGATTGGATAAAGAATGAGGTTTGTGTCTATGTATATTATTATCTTGTGTATTATTTTATGTTTTATGTGTTATATATACTTGCGTATTATGTTATGTATTAAATTATATGTTTTGTATGTATTATATCTACTCGCGCAGACGATAGCACATACCATGGTCATTGTCGCATATTATGTTATCTTTATTCCTATACTTCACCTCCCCCTACTAATTCATAGCCCACATCAACACCGGGAACAGTTCCATTGTCATTGTCGCATACTATGTGATCTTTATTCCTATACTTCACCTCCCCCTACTAATTCGTAGCCCACATCATCACCGGGAACAGTTCCATGATCGTTGTCGCATACTATGTGAACTTTATTCCTATACTTCACCTCCCCCTACTAATTCATAGCCTACATCATCACCGGGAACAGTTCCTTGACAGCACGTGCCATGGTCATTGTCGCATACTATGTGATCTTTATTCCTATACTTCACCTCCCCCTACTAATTCATAGCCCACATCATCACCGGGAACAGTTCCTTGGGGAATGTTTTCTGCTCCTGTTTCCTGGTCACATTGAGCTCGGCCTGGGCAAAGACGGCCTCAAACGCATCGCAACTGCGCACTATACTGCTGTCTTCCCGATCCAGCCAGAAGTCGCCCTCCCCTTTACGCGTAATGTTCTCCTTGACCACTATGTATCCGTTGGGTTTGAGCGCTTGTTTGCAGCGCTTGAAGAACGCCACGAGATCGTCTGTTGCCGGAGAGAGTGTGGGGACAGATATGAGTCATTTGTACATTACTTGACATGTACTCGAACCATCACGTATGAAAAATAGGAGCATGTATCAATTATTGGACCTGTTCTCTGGCAGTACGTACAAACAAGAAAAAAGGGTGGGTGAATGTCGCAAACACCGCCTCTCCGTGTTTGAGGGCTGGCGTATTTGCATATAGCCGTACAGGGTCGGACAATATAGCGTCCGAAGAGTATCGATGTGCGTAATATATACGTACTATTTATAAGTGCAGTGGCAGGTAATGGTGTGATTGTGATCCTGTGTGACTCTAGTGTGCCTTAACAGCGGTTACTACAAACACCTCTGCGGTGTGTTCAGGTGAAGGTTGCGCGCATGGTCCAGAGGTCACATTTAAACTGATGTGTATGGGACATCCACTGTTGCATGATTGGTGCATACACACGCCCTTTATAGGAATTCCCTCAACCCAGAGCAATCATAGTTATGTTGCACGGCTAGTTTGTCAGTATACAAGTAATACACACTCCATTCAACCGCAGAACAGAGCACACGAATCTAAGTATACACGAACACCCACACCATGCACAACATACACCACCCGCCACTGAGATGAACCCCCGACGCACTGCAACTCACACGACCTCGTAGTAATGGTCTACTGTACTGGTATATAAACACATACATCAGCTCACCACAGTGCCAGTGACGCAAAATTACAAAGATCAGTCGAGAGCTACCCGTCCCCACCTCACTCACTCACTCACTCACTCTCACTCTCACTCTCACTCTCACTCACACACACCCACACTCACAAACTCTCTCTCACACACACACGCTCACACACACACTCACTCACACGCACACACACACACACACACCGTCTTTGAGATGTCCCACAACCCACTGCACCCATACGACATCGTAGCGTTGGTCTTCCGGTGTGAAGTCCTGTAAACTGGAGCAGATAAACCGTTCCGCTTTGGGTGATGAGATCTTTGCCCGCGCCTTATCTAAAAACTTTTGGCAGAACTCGACCAAATCCACAACGTCGAATATCGGCAGTAATAATTTGGACGTCACACGCCCAATTCCTGCCCCACAATCAAGTGCAGAGATCTTCCCCGATTTGCCCAGTTTGCTTAGTAGTGGTTTTAGGAAGTCTTGGGAGCCTTTTATATCGACAGAGGATATGTGTGAAAACCCGCCCAGCACTCCATTTACGGTCGCTGGTATGTTCTGGTGGAAGCAATACAAAGAGTCAGACGAATGCAACGGCTCCGCTGCGCTAGTGTAACGATTGTATGCTGCTTACTGCACAGGTAGATACGGCAGTGTGGTATAAGACGGCATGCTTAAGGAATATATTGAATTGGATTCAATTCCATGGGTGCTCCAACGGATATATATTCGTTTTACGTATCCAATCCGAATTCATCACATGCGTTCACAGGAACATGCATATAAATCCACGCTTTCAAAATGAAGACATATCTACGTGTGCATATTCCTTTATACACGAAAACATATACAAATCGGTGAGCACAGAATATATATAAATATGTTTACGTCGAACTCAACGATTAAACTACAGATAAACGTAGACAGTACCCAAAATATACATGTATAAAAATAATTATACATGTGCGTGTGTAGGTGAGTGTATAAATGTGTGAATAAATGTATTTGTGGCCCGTATGTGCGTGTGCTAGGATACCTTCGGTCAAACCCTATATAAAAACAACAAATAAGAAATTCATAAAGATATTCAAATCACCAAAAAAAAAATACACAAACAATAAAAATAATGGCGTTAATTGTACACATATGAGAAAACACGAGTCGTAATGAAATGTGTAAAAGCAAATACTCGTGTCCGTACTATATATATATATATATATCAATATAAACACATACACACAGACATACGAGTGTATGCATATATATATATGTATGTAAGTATGTATGCGTGTATGAACATGTATATATATATATATATATATATATATGTAAGTATGTATGCGTGTATGAACATGTATATATATATATATATATATATATATATATATATGTATACATATACATATATATATATATATATATATATATATATACATATATATATATATATATACATTTATTTAATTATACATATATACATATATATAAATATATATATATCTGTATATATATATATATATATGTCTATGCATATATATATATATATATGTGTGTGTGTGTGCGTGTGTGGATACATACATACATATATACATATATCCGTAGTTAATATACACATATACATATATCCGTAGTTAATATACACATATACATATATATATATATATATATAATATAATATACATAATAAATACATA